GATGGATGGATGGATGGATGGATGATGGATGGATGGATGGATGGATGATGAATGGATGGATGGATGAGTGGATGGATGATGGGTAGATGGATGGATGGATGATGGGTGGATGGATGGATGGGTGGATGAATGATGGATGGATAGATGGATGGATGATGGATGGATGGATGGATGGATGGATGGATGGGTGGATGGATGGATGATGGATGGATGGATGGATGGATGGGTGGGTGGATGGATGGATAGATGGGTGATGGATGGATGAATGGAAAGATGGATGGATGGATGGATGATGGGTGGATGGATGAGTGGGTGGATGGATAGATGATGGATGGATGGATGGATGGATAAGGAGGTCTATCCATCTCATGCTTCTTCAGCCTCCTGGTTTGAAGCACAGAGATTTGGTCCACTCCTGCATCTCCCACCAGTAAGCCCTGTGGCCCCAAGCCTCCCTCAGGCCTGGTGACCCCAACCCTCTTGTTAAGGGTGAATAGTGGCCTGTAGAGCCTCCCTTGCTGGGCCAGTCTCTGGCCCTTCTGTGGCCCAGTCCTGACACCTGGTGGTGCATCTTGAGTGTGGCCCTGGGTTTCTTTCCTCCCACTCACTCACCCAGAGCTGCCAAACCAGCCTAGCAACCCAATGGCCATCTGCCCTCTACTCCAGTTTGCACCAGCAGGGCCAGGCTCCACACCAGGTGAGACTAGGGTCATCTCTGCTCACCTTAGGAGCCTTCTAGTCACATGGGGTCAAATCTCCTCCTCAACCCAGCCCTCAAGCCAAGGCAACTGGGGAACCGAGGACCACAGACTATCACAGAACCAGCCGCAAAGATGTGCCCAAAGTCACAAAGAGAGCGTGCAGGGACTTCCTTCCACACCCCAGCCCCTGCGGCCTATCTGAGCACTGTTGCGGCCACTGAGGTGATGAAGGCACCCTGGGGAGGGAAGGAAGGAACTGGGGGGAGGTCAGAGGCTAATTTAAGCAGGTTAGTCGATGGGAATTGGGTGGGTGGCAGTGATGCAAACGAAGCACAAAACCAGAGCTCAGCAACTCCTTCCCAACTTCTCCCAGCTCCCACGCTAAACCATCACTCCCAGCCAGAAGTCTTGGGAGGAGGGTGACACTGTGTGGCTAATTGTGGTATTGCAAAAGTACCTGTTGGTCTCTTAAACTCAGTCTAGGTGTCCAAGCCCTTAGGTTAAGAACAATATGCCTCTGCTCTTTGCCCATAGCAGACTTTGTCTGGAATGTCCTCCACGCATACAGTCAAGCACACATACTTCCATCAACCCGCCAACAATCTAGGAAGCCTTCCCTCCCATAGAGAGTGCACACACAGAGAACTGCACTCTGACCCTGCCAGCTGTGTAGCTGTGGGCCTTGGCAAGAGACTTAACTACTCCAAGCCTCAGTTTTCTCATCTGTAAAACAGATGCTGCCATGAGTATCGCATGAGATGCTGCATGTGAACACTTCAATATTAAGTGCTTAATAATTATTTACTAGGCTCTGATGTCCAGCTTCCCAGGCCCATTAGGACTCTGGCACAGAGGGAAGGAAGAAGGCCAGACTCCAGGTGGAGAGAATTGTGTGAGGAAAGGCTCCTGGGCAAGAACGAGCCCGGAGCCCTCAGCATATTTGACATACTTGGCATATTCAGGAACTATGCAAAGCATAACTGGTTTGAATAGGGACTTGGGAGCTGGGCGAAGTTGGGTCAGAGAGCTGGTAAGGGGTGGAGCCGGCCAGGCCGCACAGCCTCAGAAAGGAGTCTAGGCTTTGTCTTGAGGGTAGTGGCTCCCAAGGCCTCACCCAGGGAACTGACAAAACCAGCTCTATAGTGAGTCCCGCTGGAAGTTGGTGTGGAGCAGGGATTGGAGAGGGTGAGTCAGGACACAGGAAGCACAGGGGCTGCAGTCAGTCATCCTGAAGAGAGATGCCAGCAGCCTGCATTGGCTGTGGAGAAGCTCAGTGACTCTGACTGAACTGAGAGGCCCTGGAAATTGATGGGGAGTGAGGGGTGGAGGAGAGGGAGGCATCTAGTGGAGCACATGCATGGGTGATGGGGTCAGTCACTGAGACTGGGTACAGGGGCCTCCTGCTGATTTCACTGTGTGACCTGGGACAAGACAAGGCCCCTTCAGGCAGCAGTGACAGTCAAACCCCAGGCCATTCCAGCAGCACATGGGAACAGTGGCTTTAAATGTCAGGCAGCCAGGAGGCCCTCCCTCTGAGTCTGATTTTGAGCCTCTGAGTATCACCCTTAAGCTGCCACAAGGCTTGGCTTCTTTGCAGAACAGCCAGTGCTAGGCACACGCCACCCATGCACCTTCCACAGGCCAGCCACACCCCACTCACACACCCTCCACAGGCCAGCCACATACCCAATACACACCTTCAGCACACTATCCACTTGCTCTCCACACCCCGACTGCACGCCATCCACATGCCATGCACATGCTATCTGTATATGATCCATATACCTTCTTCATGCCATCCAGATATGTCATACCAGTCATCCATACACAAGCTACATGCCATTCCCATACAACCATGGCCTGCCATGTGCCATCCACACACACCCACATGCTTGCCATCAGGTGTCCTCAGCATCCTCTCCAAGATGAGGACAAGGCACCAGGTGGGGACCCTAAGGACATCTATAAAACTGAGTCCAAGTCCCAGGGCATATCACTCCCATGGAGATTCACTCCCCACCCCCCACGGCCTGACCAGGTACTCACCTTTGCAGGTGCAACCCTCCCGAGTGATGACCTGTCGGCAGATACCACAGGGCTTCACCTTCTTGAAGGTCTTCACCTTGAAGCGGTGAGTCTTGGGGGCCTCCAGATCCTCTGGCTGTGGGAGGAGAGACAGAGGTCAGGCCTAGGCAGAAGCCTGGGGCCCTGGGGCAGAAGTCAGGGGCCTGGGGAGAAGTAAGCAAAGACTGGGGAGAAGGAGAGGCAAGGGGCCCCTTCAGGTGCAAAAGGCCTGAGGCCATTTCTGGGAGGAGGTTCCTAGGGAAAGAGACAGCTGTGGGTGCAACCCAGACTCCCAGACTGAGGTGGGTCAGCATACTGGGGCCCAAACAACAACTGGAGACCCCAGCATCTGGGGATCACAAGTCCCTCCATGGTTTCTTCATCACTTTTTCTTTGTGTTGGCTTCATTAGCAAAGTTCACTACCCTGACATGAATTGTTCCATACAATTTTACACACGTATGCCCCACATTACCAGACGCCAGAAGTCTCCCTTGTGGCCGTCCCAGTCAATACCCCCCATAGTAAATAGTATCGTCACTTCTATCACTAAAGATTCATTTTGCCAGGTTTTTAAACTTCATATGAATGGAAGTAATCAGTATGTAGCTTGTGTCTGGCTTCTTTCACTCAGCATTAGTCTGCGAGATTCATCCCTGGCGCTGTGCAGAACAGTGGTGTCGCCTTCTCGTTGCTGTTGAATACTCCACAGTGAGTGCAGCAGACGCATTTATCTGTTCCGCCACTGATGGCCCTTAACTGTTCCCCTGTCCCCAGAACACCACGTCCCTCAGTTCTTTCCCTCACCTCATTACCACCCCCTACCCTACCCAGACGGCTTTTTCCTTCTTTAATTTCATGTTCTCTTTTTTGCATTATGAAAATATCGATATGCTAAAAAATCCTTTTTTAAAATTACACCATCATAGAAATAGATGAAGGGAATAAAGAGTTACAAACATCCAGTTGTAAAATAAATTACTCAAGGGGATGAAAGTACAGCATAGAAAATACAGTCAATAATATTGTAGTATCTTTAATGTTGACAGATGGCAACTACACTTGCTGTGGTGAGAATATAGTCATGTATGTAATTGTCAGGTCACTATGTTGTACATCTAAAACCAACACAATACTGTACACTAGCTATATTTCAATTTTTAAAAAATAAAAATAAATAAAACTCTACCACCATAACACGAGATGAGAGGCAGGCTGACAGTCCAAGTCTTCTCTGTGTCTGACCCGCCATGAGCCCCCGGGCCAGTCACCAGCCCACTACTACCGCAAGCTTCAGGTTTCCCCTCTGGACACTGTGAGGTTGGACACCACACCCCTCATGCTCCAACAGTCTGTCCTTGGTGACCATGTATGGGAACACACTGTGAGGCACAAAGCCCTGCAGCCACACTGCTTAGGACCCCCTCCTCCCACCTGCAGCCCCCAGCCCTGGCCCATGCTGGGGCAGCACCCTTCTCTTCCCCATTCAGAGCACTCCCCAGGGAAGTCGTCCCTGCCCAAGGCACTCATCCTGGTGTCTACCTGTTTTGGTTGCCTGGCTCCAGCAGCAGAAGCCAGCAGTACACACACATGGGCAGCACGCTGCTTCCCCTCTCACAGTCACAGAGTTTTCTGACATCCCTCTGTACACACATGGATGCACAGAGGCATGATCACAGACCCTGCAGAGAGAAGTCTCTCCAAGTGCCCTTCCTTGTGCCTTGCCCCAGAGCCTCCCAACTGAGGAGGAAGGGCAGCAGTGCCCTACAAACGCAGTGTGTCCAGGACTCCTGTCTGAAGACACTGTAGTGGTGAGACCTGGGGAAAAAAGATTGGGCCATGAGAGACACAGAGAGAAAAAACAGAAAGCCAGAGAGAAAGAGAGGGGAAGAAGGGTAGAGAGAGTCAGAAACCAGAGACAAAAGGAAAGACAGAGAAAAGCAACAGAGAGTCAAAGAGGTAAAAAAGACCAAGATAAAGGCAGAGACAAAGACAGAGATGAACAAGTGCACACAGAGAATGAGAAAGATCAGACAGAAACACACAGAGACTATAAAGGGAACCAGAGAACCAAAGGGGGACAGACAGACAAAAGGGCACAGGAGCCAGCTTGAAGGGGCCCCCAAAGGCTAAATCTGGGATGATCTTAGTATCAAAATACATAGTGATGGCAATGGTTTCAATGAACCCATACTTGTTTGTGACATAAGTGAATAAATTGTAAGTTTGATGAGTAATAGAAAATTTACAAGTCTCAAAGCACCTCCCCACATCATGCTCATAAATTACAAAGGGGGAAAAAGTAACTTTTCTTGGCAGATTCCACTTTAATCAAGTGATCAAAGTTAACATCACCAGTAATTGGATGAACGGAAATCGTGCACCACAGGCAGATGCATCAAGAACAAGACATTGCTTCTGTGACATTCCTGCCAAAGAGCACAAGCTGAATCTAATCATGAAGAAACAGCAGACGGACCCAAACTGAGGGACAGTCTACCAATTAGATGGCGTGTCATCTTCAAAGCCACAAGGTCATGAAAGTCAAGGAAAAATGGTGGAGATTTCCAGCCTGGGGGAGACTAAACAGACATGACAACCCCATGCGGTGGCTGATTCTGAACTGGACTCTTTCCATGCCCACCAAAGACATCACTGGGGCAACTGGACAAACCTCAGTGGGGCCTGAAGATGAAATGGTGCTAATGCATCAGTGTTGACTTCCTGACTCTGGTGGTGGTGCTGGGTTAGGTAGGAGAAAGTCCTTATAGAAAAACCAGAAAAGTATTTAGGGATGGTGGGGCATTGTGTCAGCAACTTACGCTCATAACTCAGGGAATAATAAGTTATTTGCACTGTACCTGCAACTTTTCTAAAGTTTGAGATGGTCTCAAAACTCAAAGAGATAAACAGACAGAGAGATGGCAGGAGGCAGGAGGGCAGAAGTGGAGAGAACAGAGAGGGTGGTGGAGCCAGGAGTGGGTGGCAGTGCCCCAAGGTGGCCAGACTAGGCAGCAAGGTCTGGGTTCCAGGAGCTGTTGGGGTTAGCGGGGAATAGCACTGCCCAGCTATGGACCTAACTCAGTGTCCCTCATTGAACAAGGAGAGGCAGAGAAGTCCCCTCCATTCTGAGGTCTCATCTCCACTGTTTGGCCATCTCAGCCCCTGGCTGGCGGTCTTCCAGATAATATCTGTAACGGACATTCCAGGGAGGGCGCCTAACCCAATGTCAACTGCAGCAACCCAGGCCAGGAGGAGCAGGAAGGGGGTTGGAGTTCAGTTTAAGGCCTGTCTGGGGAGGCCGTCAGGAAGCCCTAAAGCCCAGTTGTCTCAGTCCTACTCTGCCCCAACCTGCAAGCCTGCCTCCCCCACCCCACTGAGTCAGGCAGGCCTCTCTATTCCAACTTATCTCCCAGACTTTTCTGCCTACCCCCCAAATCTAGCCCTTCATCCAAAGCCCAAGGACAGAGACCTCTTCTCCAAGGCATAGTTAGGGCAGTAGAATCTCCCAAAAGAGGGTCCTGGCTGCCCAAGGAACAGATTGAAAGCAAAAGCCCAGGCTTCTCCCCCAGGCCTTGGGCCTGCCTGTCCTGCTTACCCAACCCCTTAAAATCTGAGCTTACCAAATCTCTCTCTGCATGGGCTTGGATAGCAGAAACAGGGCTTCAGATACACGCTCTGGCCTCCCTTACAGCCTCTCCAAACAGCTTCTGGGTAATGGCCCAGGACCCTCCTGACCCCACACCTATCAGGTGCTGGCTCTCTGGCTGAAGAAGCACTGGGACGGGAGTCTGGAGACCTGCTTTCTAGGCCAGCAGCCTTAAGAGCATCAGTGACCTTCCCTCATCATCTCTAAATGGAAATGAGGGGTTTGGACAAGATAGTCTGAGCGTACACAGTGTAGCCGGGTCAAGTTTGAGACGAAGGGCTGAGGGTGCTGGGGGCAAGACATGTTGATGGTTACAGAGAGAGGGATGTCTAGTGAGCTACCGCTCCTCTGGGAGAGGCTGGGGGACTCTGGGGGGAAGCAAGTAGGCCAGCTTGGTCACCCCCAGACAAGTGGCCCCAAGCAGTGTCCTTGACTCTGCTGGCATTGTCTTCTCTGGCTATGAAATGGGGCATCTAGTGATCTTGTGGAAAGAATCATCCACACAGATTTGAAGGTTTCTGCATGGTGGATGAGCAAGTCCAGGATGGATAAGCCTCCCTCATCTTACTGCAACTATCTTCAAATATCCAGATAGCTTCAAATACCCAAAGATGCTATCACTGTAGGAAAGGACCAGGTGTGTGAAGATACTGAAGGCAAAACAGCCCAATGGGCAGAAGCCATAATGATGAATGGTTAGACTCAAGGGGCAGCGAGAATTTCCCAATTACCACATGCTAGAATGCAGATGAAGAAGAAAACCAGGGGTCTGCTACCCTGCCCTTGCCCAGGGTTACAGGCAGAAGATGCAAACAAACCCAAAAAGTGCAAAGCTCCATTCGAGGGTAATGGCTTCCTCCGACAATGAGTGTCATCTTCCCTGACAAGTGGCAGACCGCCTCACAAAGCACCCCGACCCCTCCCTTGCTGGATTAGGTCCTAAGGGCCAGAGGATGCACAGCCACAACAGGAACTGCTGGTCTTCAACACCCACCTCCCTTGAGTGCCAGAGCCCAAAAAGAGAAGAGTACCAACCTGGACATCCCCTTCACCACCTTCTAAGCCCAAAGCCCTACCCTGGGACAAGCTCACCCAGCACCAAGGCTCTTCCTGGCTTCAGGGGGACCTACTCCCTCCCACCCTCCACTCAGCCAAGCCTGCCTGCCAGATATGCACATCCCAGCCAGAGGGGTGTGGCACATCTGGCTTGGACAGCTTTGGCGGGAGTCCTTGGCCCCGGGGTGGGAAAGGCTGTTTGTGGGTTCCTCCCTGCCCCATGGGGTAGGGCCTGGTGGAGATGGGGGTAGGGATGAAAAGGGGTCTATAACCCGAGGGGTCCTCCAGCTTGCAAGCTCTTGTCCCCTCCCCAAGAAGCTTGTGCCCCCCGCCCCCTCCAGTCTCGCTGTGCCCAACACTAGGAGCACTGGATGCTGTGGCCAGAGGGCAGAC